TCAGAAAAGGACTATGAGGCATTTTTTTAAATACCAGTCCAGAATAGCGGACTGCAGGACTACTGGGGATGGCTAGTTTTCCAGCGCGTTCCACTTAGTTGCATACCCTAGGATGCTGTTTATTTCTGTGCCTGCAACTGCTCTTTTGACTTTATATTTTAAGCACAGAAAGCTTGATAGACGGCAGCTTTCAGAACGTCCTTAGCCTGAGCAAAGAGAGTACTGAGAACATTCTTGTCAAACTTGGTCATTAACTGTAGTAATAATGTCTGCAGCCTGTCATTAAAAGAGAATCAAGGAGAAGCTGATTAAATGCACCAGAAGGAAACAATTCCATTCCTTTACTTTTTCCTTGACACGTTGCACTTCATTTGAAGCTTGCTAATATACCAGCCAAAAGAATTGTAAGGGCCTGGATTCTTTCTTAATACAATAGTCATGGTTCACTAGTTAGAATCTGTATAGAATTAGCCAGTGACATGGATGAATGGAAAAACATACTTAAAGAGATGAAAAATAGCACTCTTTCGCAGGCTCATTCATTAGGAAACCTCTATCAATACAGTGCATTAGTTCTTTTCCTATTTCTACTACTGGACTAAAAAATGATCACAAAATAGTACACATCAAATAAAGACTAGAAACGTCATAGCGGTGCTTATGCCTGTAACATAAGAGTTAGCAAAAACTCGGCTCAGTCTTTCCATGCAGGTGCTTTCCTCCAGAGATTTTTGGGGCAAACTTCATATTCACGGCAAAAGCAGCTTAAAGCAGAATTAGCACAACGAGCTGTGACACATCTTGTTCCATTTTTCAAAGTTCCACTTCAATCAGCCGTACCTGACAACTGTAACCAGCAGTACCACACTACTGAATATAACATTACATCAGCTTTGCAAAACTGGCATGAAAATACATTAGCACAGACACAAAATGGACTTGCTTATTAACGTGAATGCGATCGCCATGAAAAGACTGAATGATATTTCACTCTGCATCACAAGCCGTCTCTCCTAATGCAAGTCTACCTCAGCCTTTAGACTATTGTTCATCCCCACAGTATCCGACTGCCTTCCACATAAAATCAATCAGAATAGCAAAGTAGACTTAATGGAGTCTCTGGCACTTTTCCCATTTTAGGGCAAAGTCCTGCTGAGGAGGGGTTTCTTTTTCCTCAGACTTCGGACTTAGGCTTTTTTTGTTGTTGCTTGGATAGCAAGAAGGCTTTCAAAGAGAAAAATAAGCATCAGTATCTGCTGGTGAATGGGGCTTGTATCTGTGAGGGAAAAAAAAAAAAACAACAAACTGGAGTGGAGACCAAGAGTTGAAGTTTCCTGCCCAGGTCTGATTCTCTCTGTAACATGAAAGAAGCGTTCTGGAAGTACAGACAGCAAAGTGGGTGCCTGCTACCAAGGCAGTGTCAACCATTTCAGGCAGATAACTCCTACACTGCTGTCTTCCTATGCAGATCACTGCTACTCTTGGTAGGAAATAAAAATAATAAAGGGGGGGGGGCGCAATTCATGTTATTTAAAACTATGGGAGAACTTACATGTGTATTCTTTACAAAAGAGGAGATCAAGAGCATGTTGGTATCCGGTGGGGAACTGACAGGAGGGATGCTATACGATTCTTTGAAAGAACAGGATGAGAGGCAATACACTCATCCCGGGGAAGGATCAAGATTTAAAAGAAACTTGTTTGGAAGTTTCAAAACAAAAACTATTGGGGTGAGGGTGAACCATCCTATACTGCCCTATGTAAAAGCTAGGGCTAACAGTTAAAAGACAAGAAAGTCTGTTACGTTGAAAAGGGGCTTCAAATTCTGGCTGGTGCAGTGCCAGAGAAGCTCCTCATCTCCATGTGCGTGTACGGACATGCCCCTCTGCATGGCTTCTT